AAAGCTCTGCTCTAAGGAAACCCTTTCGACTGTACTGGTTTGTTTTCCAGTCTCCAGAAGAGCCAAATCCAAACTTCCTCCATTCTCTTTTTCCCTGACATCCTTTGAGATAGTTGAAAATGGGGATTGGGGCACTTCTCCAAGATGAACACATCGAGCTCTCCATCTTCAGTCATTCCTCACGAAGCCTCATTTTTCAGATATCTGACCACCTTGATTTCTCTTGAAAGGACTACATCTCCCAATTCATCTCTTGGCAGAAAGGGGCTGTGAGAGTGTGACTCCGGTGCCCTCCAGTGGCCAGGCTGAGAATAGGTGCTTCTTCCCTCTGGCCTGATTTCCCAGAAAAGGAGTGTCCCTGAGCCCAGATTCAGCCCTTCGAGGCCTTGAAAGCCAAGCCTGGCCTCAAACCGGAGCCTGTCCCTGGGGGGTGGCCTGGCTTTGCTCTCTCCCTCTCCATTTAATAATGAATCTTTCTTTTATTATCAGCGTCCCATAGATTTCTGGAAGAAAATGCAAAGCATCACACGCTCAGGCACATTGCATGGTGATGGCTGCAAGGGACTCCTATTTGGATCGGGACTCCAATGTCTTGCATACTTTCCCTCTTTTGCCTCTCGTATTGTTACTGACACTAGATGCTTCTTCCTCATCACGATATCAGAAAAATCCCTTTCCCAGTTCACCTTCTCAGCCTCGGAGGGCAGGCATGTCACGAATGCCAGGTTTTTTGAGCATGCATGTGGATCCCTTGCCAGCCAGGTTGGGCCACGTCTCCATGTTCCTCTTGAGCTTCCTCTCGCTGCCTTTTCTAACACCCACAAGCCCTTCGCCCAGGGCCCCCCAAACTGAGACCCCCTCCCCAAGGGTCCCTGCCCGACACTTTAGGGCTGCCCCTAGTCGAACAATGACAACAACAGCTCCTCAAACTGGAAGTGATACATGGAGAGAGAGTTTGAAAGTAAAAACAGTTACTTAGTTTATTTGTCTAATTCTTATGATATATGCGTAGTGGTTACATAGTCTCAATCGTTTGCTGCTTACCGAACAAAGTTTCAATATGAGTTTCTCTCAAACTATTCACTTCTTCATAAAAGACTGTTATACTTACTTACTTAAGCCATCCCTCATCGTCCAAGGATGATGGTCCTCCAAGTGTAGTATCCTGGGGGTGGGTTCATAGGTGGCTGTGGAGCCCAATTCTTGACCTGCATCTTCTCCCACTGTAAGGGCATTGGTTTCCAGGTGGAAGGCGCTCTCAGTCGGGGTTAGCTTGACAC